TGTGCCCTGCATTTTGACTGTTCTTTCTGCCTGAAAACTGAGAAAAGTCCATGGCGTCCAAAAAGTGTCCCTTTAGGTCAAAAGCGGTTTTAGACCGGCTAGAGAACAGCGATAGTAAATTAGAACCCCTTGCAGAATTGAGTGATAATGATTTGTGGGGAAATTCGTCATCAGACACTGAAAACGATTTTGCGACTTTGCTCAGTGATGTGCGAACTTGGCGCTATATTTCACATTTCAGTGTTTTTGGTTTGATTATATTATTGAATTAAATGTATTATTATTATATTATTATTTTTATGATTATTTATTAAATTATAATTTATGATTTCATGTTTCAAATTTTATCATATCCGGAATGTTTACTAGACTCTTGTTCGGACAGATTTCAGTGAGTTATTCCTAAATTACAGGCCTACAATAAAAAAAAATACGTATTTCCATGCAAAAAAATGGTACCGCTTTCAGCACCAAAAATCTGAAATAATCATACCGCCAGGGAGGTTAAACCCTAGCCTGATGACATTGTGGGGGTTATTTGCTGAATCGCATGGTTTAACTCTGCATAGAAACCAATCAGCTTCCAGGTTTTATTGTCAAAGCTCAATTGAAAAAGAAGATAGAAACTGATTAGCTACCATGCAGAGCCGCACCCGATTCTGAATGTACCAGTTTTAGTAAATCCCCCACTTTGTTTTCTAAAGAACTTTAAAGTAGAAAACAATTGTTTTTTTTTGTTTTGTTTTTTCACCTTCTCCATCCTTCGAGGCATCTCATAGCTGCTGATCTCCTGCAGCCTTTCTACAGCCTTGTCATGCCAACATGTACACCACTGTTGTCTGCATGAGGCTTTCAGGGCAGATATATTAAGTTGTTGACAACAGTGGTTTTTGTCTGTGCAATACACAATGCAGGAGAACAATTGGAAAACAGGGATATAACATTTTACCCTATAACATCAAAGGCCTGAATAGAAAATACGCATTTTATCACTCATCACTGCAATGCACGGTACTACGACCACAACTGCCACAATACCTGATCAACGACTTTATCTGATAGGGGGCAGTCACTGTGCACTTATTTATTTATTTCATGTACTTATATAGCACCGTCAATTATATATATAACCATATGGAAGAAAAGTATTTTTGAAATATTTTTTATACACATGCTTCCCAAATATATTGCCATATATTTGAAATGCTACAATTTTGGCCATATTTAATATATTTTAATATATATATTTATATATATATATATATATATTATATATATATATAAATATACACTGCATGTTGAAATGTGTTTTTATTACAAAATATATGAAAAATATTTTTAAAAATATATTGCAAATATACTGTATGTCTGACCACTGGTAAATGAAAACAAACAAACAAGGGTGCACGCTCATCGTGCATTACCGTACTACCTATAATACTGCCTATAATCACGTTGGTTTGTGAGTATACATCCTTTTTTATCTAATAAATTACGTGGTACACCACGGTAATGCACAATGAGAGTGCGCCCTTGTTTGTTTTCATTTACCAGTGGTCAGATCTCAGAAGGGCAGCACCTCTTCGATTGGCATTTTGGCAATTCCTTAGTTTGCATGAAGATTGGAGCGCTGGTTTTGTTTGTCTATATACTGTATGTCTATAAAAATACAAATCTACATTTTTGGAATGCATTTACAAATATATGTAAAATTGTATGTTATAATGACTTTTTTTATGTTAAAAAAAAATCTGAAGAATATATTTAAAAAATGCATATTTTTAAAAAAAAATTTTCTTCCATGTGGGTATATGTATTTATTGTACATTCACACCTGTCGTTAAAAACCCTCAAGGAGTGTACAAGCTAAGGTGCCAAACTCACATTCATACGTACACCTATTAAGGCCAATTTAGACAGGATCCAATTTACCTACCAGCATGTCTTTGGAGTGTGGGAGGAAACCGGAGTACCCACACAGGCACAGGGAGAACATGCAAACACCAGGCAGGTGGTGCTGTGGTTGGGATTCAAACCAATGACCCCAGTATTGCCAGGCAGAACAGCTAACCATTTAGCCACTGCGCTGCCTTCACTTGATTATTTTCCATCCAGCTCCGTTGATTTTTGAAATTGACAGTTGTTCAGCCAGGTGCTGCTTGCAGGGCCACCCACATCTTGAATTTCAAGCCGTCTATTGGGACCTTGAGACTTGCACCTTAGCACACATGTACAGTAGCTGCCAGCACACCTGCAGTACAATGTGCAAAAATTGCTGCTAGTGTGTCTTGTACTGTGTTACATCCAAGTGATAACAAAAAAATACTGCGCCCAAAAACTTGTATTTAATTACTTATAATCCATATCTAAATTCATATAATACCTATATAATAATACACGTCTCCATATATAAAATGCACTAAAAATAGTAATATATCAATCTGATAATGTGATCCACTGTGCCTTAATTAATTAAGTGCAATATTACCATGATACTTGTACTATGTTGCCATAAATATTGCAGGTACTGAGTTGTATTAACTTGGTGCATTTCATGACATGCAAACACATGCATCATGGGACACACACGTGTGACGGGGCCCTCATTATAATTTTGGCTTTTACAGGGCCACCCATAGGAGGGTACAGTACAGAGTCATCAGAACAACTTACTCAAAGAGGCGCTGGGAACTTTTAGACTTGCAAGTGTAGTCAGCTGAAGGAAAATTTAAAATGAGCTCAATAGCTCTGGTGAGGCGTCTCCCGCACAACAAGCCTTCGCTCGATGGACATCCAACAGTAACCCAAACTATAGGAATGCAGAAAGGAGCGCCAGACCAAAATCAAATAAAAGAGTCCAAGATTATTTTATTTGTTGGTCATTTAAAAACATCCAAGGCTTTTGGGGGGGCTACACTACTCCCCCTTTGTCAGGGATACAAGTCTCAATTGAAATATAGTATGCTAAAAGATACTATCGATTATAGAATTTTAAACGATACATGTATAGATGGATGTATATTGCTTGTATCTTTTAATATTCTCTAATTCATTTGAGACAACTGAAGTTCATGTGAAAAATCTGTTATCATGTTCTGATCTAGATTTTGTAGTATGTATTCATATGCACGGGCGGACTGACCATTTGGAAATTCAGGCACTGCCCGAGGGCCGGGGGTCAGTACGGGGCCCCATGAGATGCCCCTGGTACCTTTTTCATAGGCTTTTTTGATTTTGGGCAAGGACACAGGGGCCCCATGATCCCCTATTGCCTGGGGGCCCCATGAGTTGTCAGTCCGCCCCTGTTCATATGCATATCTAGACAGAACTTTTTGGTTATTCTTGAAACACGTTGGATGTCTTTATATGACTTTTTAAATCAACAATTAAAATGATCTTGGACTCTTTTATCCAATATTGTTCTGGCACTGCTTTCTGTATTTCCATGGTTTCAGTGCAGAGTCATACAGGGCTCCGGCTTTCTTATAGCAGTCCTGGAAATCCTATGGTAAAATCTCCTAGATTTCAACTTCTGAAAAAGAATAGAAAATGCTGGGCCTGGCCCACTGGCCACTGATTACAAGAGCAGGGGACTGGGGGCCCCTCAGGTCAGCTATATAACTTTTTAATGGTGGCCCTGGCTGTTTGCATCTCCAGTAGTTCTGCAGAAACACACACACGTAGTGCTAGTGTTTGGAATCAAGATCATATGGGTTCAAACGGGTTTGTTTAAAAAGTTTAAAGAGTTGCTAGAGTTTGATTGCTTGTGAAAAGATGTTCAAAAGGAGGTTGCACAGTGTAAGAGAAGTCCTGGAGGTTTGAGATCAAATTGATGAACCAGAGCAGAAGACTGAAGTTTGTGAATGAGTCATTGATTGTATACCCAAAGACTACCGAAGAGATATAGAGAGGAACCTTAGCCTATCTTGAATTTTTTAATAACCTGAAAATATTAACTTCGTTGACATCTTATATAAGCCAAATAAATATTAACTGCATCTCTAATTAGTCCAATTTTTTTTTTGAAAGGCAGATATTGTCCAGGTCACCGGTGAACATACATCTTATGTCTTAGCCTCAAATTGTCATGATTAACATGCTCTACCACAGGCACTGTGTGCCAATTATGCAGTGATATCAAACAAGAGGAAATTAATTAAGAAAAGTCAGATGTAAAAAAAAAGAGACATTTTCTAACCATGCTGCCATAATGATGTGTAGCCAGGATTTAATAGTCTTTTAATGAACATATTTTTGTGACAAGTTTAAGGAAAGGAGGTCGGTGGGTCGCAAGCTGACAACTAGGGCAAAAATCACAATTTCTTCTAAATTAAGTGAAAGAGTCACTTGGCAGGATAAACTGTTTTACTGTATTCCAATTTTGACCTGTACCATGCTAACATCTGAAAAAAGGCAATTAGTGGCAAATCTGTGTTCTGGCTGAGCATTAAGTTCTATCTTATTTGAATAGTATGGAGATCTAATCAATGGGAAATAAAATGGTGGTTTTCAGGACAAAACCTAAATGTAATTGTTGGCGATCTTTAAAAAAGGCTGCTTTTTTTTTCCAATAGTACAAAGTGATTATTATCATGAAAATTAAAGTGTTTTGCTCCATAGGAACAATGCTTGCCAGGCTACCCACATACTGTACATTGCATTTGCAAAATATATTCTTACCTAGTCCTGTTCAGAAGATATTTATGTAGGTTTACCATGTGCCTTCTCACATTGACTACAAAGGAGAAAGAAAGATAAAACATCAGCAGATTACAATATAATATATATTTCTAATCCAAAAGAAGGTTTTCCACCAGATAACATATAAGCCCATTTGTTTATAGTTTCTTGTGAGTCAGTTTACAGTGAAGCTCCACCCAAAAATGGAAGGGAAATGGCGGGAAATCTGAAAATTTTAAAAGTGACATTCACTAAATACACTAAAATCACATAGTAAAACATTCCTGTATCATCCCATTTCACATCCATTTTGTCCCGAGTGCTTTGTCCTGTCCCCTGTCTGCATTTTTACTGTTCTTTCTGCCTGGAAACTGAGAAACGTCCATGGCATCCAAAAAGCGTCCCTTTAGGTCAAAAGTGGTTTTAGACAGGCTAGAGAACAGCGATAGTAAATTAGAACCACTTGCAGAATTGAGTGATAATGATTCGTGGGGGAAATTTGTCATCAGACACTGAAAACGATTTTGCGACTTTGCTCAGTGATGTGCAAACTTGGCGCTATATTTCAAATTTCAGTGTTTTTGGTTTGATTATATTATTGAATTAAATTTATTATTATTATATTATTATTTTTTATGATTATTTAGTACATTTTAATTTATGATTTCGTGTTTCAAATTTTAACATACCCGGGATGTTTACTAGACTCTTGTTCGGACAGATTTCAGTGAATTATTCCTAAAAATGACAGGCCTAGAATAAAAAAAATACATATTTCCATGCAAAAAAATACCTCTTGGAGCACAGAAATATGGACATAATCAGACCGCTAGGGAGGTTACAAGTTATCAGCTACAGTTTTTGGTTCTGTATGTTTGAGAGCCACCTTACCAGATTTCCTGGCATTTGAACCAACTGAAATCCCAACGCCTCCCGATAAGAAAATGGCAGTCATATATACATAATACATTGCATAGAAACCTTTGTCCATGCTGCCTTTCATTCTTGTGGATCCCTTTCCATGCTGCCTTTGTGCATACGGTGTTCATGCTCATATGCCATCATTTTGAAAAGCATATCATCCTGGGCACGCACAAGAGGGAATGCATGACAGCTCGTGCATGCGCCATGCAGCATTACATTCATCTGTTGTTTTTTTTTTTTTTTTAACAGCAAATGAGTTTAATATTGTATGGTTGCATGGCTGAAATGAAGCGCATGACATTGTGTACTTCATTTGGCACGTGTCCTGTATCAGAATACTGTGAGATCTTATGAACACGCATCACAAAGGCATGTTCAAAAACGCAGTGTGAAATCGCACAATGCCCAATCTGCATAGCCTTAGTAAGTCCCCCCTTTGATAGTATCTCACCAGAAATGGCAATCCCAATGCAGAGGATGCCTTCCATACGACTGCAAGCTCTGTACATACATCTGGGAAAAATCTGAGTGGGAAATGTTATTTCTGTGAGAGCTCTGCAGAAAAATGGCGTACAGAACGATGCTGTGTTGTTGTTGTTGCCATGGTTACAAAGTAAGCCATAAATACATTTTTGGGGGGACTTTGAAGCAGTCAAAGCTAGCTGCAGATTAAAATAGCAAACTAATTTTTTTAAAATATTATTGAATTACAAAATGACATCAGTAGCATTTATAGATTTTATATTATATTGATGTTTCTTTTAAAGGGGATCTGTCACAAAGATAAAAAAAAGTACAGTTTGAAGCTGCCATTCTCTGTGGTAAGTCAATAATGAAAATTGCAAGAACAAAGCTTTAAAGTGTATCTAAGCTAAAAACAAAGTGTAGAATATTTCATTTTGCCGGTCTCTAGATGTGATGGCTGCAACTGTTTTCATTTTTCAGGCTTTTTTTTTCTTTCTTTATTTTCACCTGGTGATCTTGCCAGTAATCCTGTCCTAGGGTGACAACACTCCACTCAATGTACGTAGCAGCAGCATTGTCACAATGAGACAAGACTTGTATTAGGACTAGAGAACGTCTCCTTTTCTCCTATCCTTCATTATATAGAGGGAGGTATTCTCTAGACCTAAAACACTTTCTAATACACTGCTTGAGACAATGTGTAGATCATAGGACAGCACTGAATTTCTGGCAGGATCAATAGGTATTCTTTGAACTTATCAAACAAATGAACCCTTTCAATGGTATTTATAACAGACTAAAAGGGAGCAAATAAGAGAAGTGATTTTTTAAGATTTACACATACCTAAGGTGCAAATTTTAGTAAGTATAGCAACCAATCACCATCCACTTTATACTAGTGTGGCTTCAGTATAGTTGAAGGTCCCACTAATTATGGGGGTCCCATCCAGGAGTTTCGGATAGCACTTTACTGTATGTCCATCATACTTTTTTACCCTGGGGTATAAAATGCCTTTGGGGAGGAGTTGTGGTTTGTAGTATGTGTCGGGAGAAGAGTGCAGTCTGGATTTTCTTTGAACTAAACAGTACAACTGCGCCACCATGTGAGTGGACAGATGATGGGTTCTCCCTTTGGGGTGAAAAAGGGGCTACTCTCCTGTGGAAAAGAGAGTGAAGAATAGTTCTTGAGGGACAGTTCTGCTGACAGCTAGTTGCGGCTACAAAGGCCCTTCAATGCCCTCCCAACAGAACTTTTGTTGTATTTCATCAGAGAAGAAACAGATTCTCTTGTTTTGGATAATTTTGGACAAGTAAAAACCAACTTATTTCACAATCCTCTGGTTATTCCTGTTCTTAGAATGCTCCCGATAAAGGAACTTGCATAAGGAAGAGTAGGGCTGACACCCATGTTTATGTGGATTCTGTGTAATGGTGTAGAATAGTGTGGCTCTTCCACACTGGTGGCTTTCTATTTTCCTGAAGGGGCAAGAATGTGGGTTGTGATCCTGGTGTCCACTATGTTGTTCCTGAGTAAATTGCAATTTTTGATTCCAGTGTTGGAATGTGAAGATCCTCAACAGGACTAACTGGGTAGGGTTGACACCCATGTTTTTGTGGATTCTGTGTAATAATGTAGAATAGTGTGTCTCTTCCATGCTGGTGGCTTTCTATTTTCCTGAAGGGGCAAGAGTGTGGGTTGTGATCCTGGTGTCCACTATGTTCCTGAGTAAATTGCAATTTTTGATTCCAGTGTTGGAATGTGAAGATCCTCAACAGGACTAATTGGAAGGTGACTGAGCGGTCCTGGGATTTGAGCTCTCATCTCTGACCAGAAGATAAAGGAGAGTCTTTTGTTCAGGATGAAAGTCTTGAATGGTTTTGAACAGAAGAGCACTGGTGTATGGTGTGCAAAGAGTAAACTGTTCTGCAGAAGACTACCTTCATGATACCCCAGCTTAGATGGCGACTGACTGATGAACTTGTTTAGGGTCATTAATGTAGCACACAGCTATAATTATAAAATTAATTCTAAATGTAATATTTCTCGGCATTAGCCCACAATAACCAAATCAGATTGTTTCTTTATTTTTCTCCCATGTACTATTATCCATTATATTCATGATCTGTCTCTCCATTGGTTTTTGTAAAAATATGATGGAAGACCAAGGCCCTTAACCGTGGCATTTATAAATAAAGGGCCTACAACCATAGAGATGGGTGAATGTTACTTGAGCTGCAGAGAGTTTTATCACACCTGTCAACAGCTTCCACACTGTCATGCATAGGTATTTATATCTTAAGTGTAAAAATAAATCATCACTATGTATTGTATTTTAAGAGTTTTATGATATATTGAAATGCATTTACATTATTTTCTTTCTTTTTTTTTTTTTTTTTTACATATTCCCCAAATGTCTGATCACCTTAAGGTAAGTCAAACTATTCCTTTTACATTTTTTGACACGGTTGGTATTCCATTTGTGATTGCAGCAGGATGATAATGTTAAATTAATCAAAGTTCAGCTCCACTGATGGTGTGATGACCGACTATGTTTACCGACAAGAAGGTACATTTTGCCTGAACAGATAAATGCACCAAATACACCTGGATTGAGTGATTCCTCTTGGATATTTGGTTTGTTTTCTCTGCTCTCTCCTCCAGCCCCCTCTGCATTGGAGAGACAATGTGGAGCCTGAAACAGATGACAATGTCTAGGGCTGCTTTTCTGGGAAATAAGCAAAATATAATACTTACTGGAGTTCAGAGTTCATTTTAAGACGTTTTGAATGCAAATATCTTCTTAGCTTGTTAACCTTTCCAGACAGTGAAAGTACGATGCAGTTAACCAATGACACGCGCCTTTGGGGAAAACCCAGCCGTAGGCATATATTATCATTTTTTTATTATAACTGTAAAATATTGTCGGTCTCAAAGAGGACATTTAGTGTGAAGTGATGTTTTATATTAAAGATCTATACTGTGAAATCTTTAGGGTCAAAAGATTAATCGCCAGTATTACATGAAGGCTCGCTGCAGTTGATTTTTTCCTATTTACCTACTTACCGTGCATGTCCCACCAGGGTTGCCACCTGGCCTGTATTCTACTGGTCTGGTCAGGAAAAATGGGACTTGTGGCCAGTGTTAATAGGAAAGAGACCATAAAGCTAGATTTTTTTTTTTTAACAAAAGAAGTGGCAACTATATGTTGCAATACGTTCTCTGTGTGTAGACTGCCAACTTAGTTGAGGCGGAATTTTGCTTCCTTGTGTCAGAGTGCCCCCCTCTCCTCCTGCCATGACTGCTGATCTGATGACTGAAGGGGGAATAATCAGGAAGCAGTGGAAATGGTGAAGAAAGCAAAGGTCAACAGCCAATGAAGCCACAGCAGGGAGATCCCTGGTTTGCAATTTCTCAGTGCAGTTTTCTCTCCAGCAAGGAAAACAGTGAGAGACACAGTGGTGACATCTCCAAATCTCACTCCAAATCTGGTCAGGCTAGAAGTCAGAGACAACAGTGCCTTAAATGATTTCATAATGCAGATATACAACTGTTAGGCTACAGAAAAGGAAGTGTTCTGTCATTGTTCAGAAGGAATTCAATACAACATGTAGATTTTTTTTAAGGTATTGCTTAAGAACAATTAACATTTCTAGATGTTCCACATAGCATAGCAAATCTATACTTTTTAGAGTTAAGATCATTTATACGTGTAGCACATCCCCGTAGGAGTCACTGGTGAATGCAGTCCAATTTCCCTATTCAGAGCACAGAGAGCCATGCACCCAGTCTAGGGGTTTCTTTTTTTTATTTTTTATTGGGAACAATAAAATTTGATAGGGAGAGGGAGCATGGGATACTCCTATAAACTGTAGAACTGAATAAAATCTCTATTCTGATCTCTATGCTGATTGTGACTAGTACTCCTTACAGAGTTTAAAAGCTACACACAGTCCCTAACTCTTCAGCACTGG